ATCTGCCTCAGTTCGCTATTTGCAGATGACATGGAGATTAGGAAGAGCTCCCTAATACCGTCCATAGCAGCCACAAACCTATAACTGGTATTAAATCAAATAATAGAGTATTGCTAAAAACAAAGAATTAAAATCAACGTCCCTAAAACACAGTCTTATTTTAGAAAAAAAAACAAAAAGTGCCAAGAAACCATCAAAATGTACATGAATGGAATCCTTCTCCAGACTGCCACGTCAGCTAAATTTTTAGGTATTTCATATGACGCTAAATTAAATTGGAAAACCCATATTAACCAGATTGGAACCAAAATGCGGAGACGCGCAAGTTATGTCAGTAGACTGTCAGGTAACAACTTGGAAACTTCACCACAGAACATTATTAGAATATAAAAACAATACATACGACCAATAATTGAATATGCCAGTCCAGCATAGATAAACATTTCACCAACCCTAATCAAAAGACAATTACAACCAATACAACACTCGATACTCACCGTAGCATATAAAGTACCAAGAAACACGAGATCAAATTTTCTACCCAAATACGCAATTATAACGAGAAGCTCTTACATTGCTCAAATAATTATCTTACAAAAAATCTGAATAAGAACGAGTTACTGACTTCACTGTCTCGCTATAAGTTCCTTTCCCCAGTTAATATGTAACAACAAGCAACCTTGTGCTAGACTTTAAATATAAGTATCATTTAACTAGTTTATAATAAAAGTATTAATTAGGGTATTTATGTCTATTACTCTTGTCATGAATTAGTGAATTGAATGTGTCGCGATATACGGAACTGTTTATCGTGTGTAGGACTAAACACACCAAACTAAGGAACGTATATTCCGATACAAAATCCTACACGTTGTATATGAATAGATATGGCTCTGAAAGGGGTTGTTGTAACTAAAGACCGTAAACGATGCAGAACCCTCAGATATATTTCGTTTAGTATTTATCAAACACGATGTTTATAACAACTGTGCTGGAGGGAGGAAGAGGTCTTCCATAGTACCTGACCTTTCCAGATCCCAACAAAAGGATCTAAATCCTGACCCAGAGAGAACTGTCGAGTCGAAAGAGGTCAGTATTGAATCTGACCCTCCCAGATCCCGATCAAGAAAGCGTCGACTGTCGGGTCGTTGTAATAACTATTTATTTCATATTATTTTTTTTAGGTTTCTGTTTATTATGAACATCAATAACTACGTATATTCTATATATATTCGTAACCTTCCCCAGTTATACATAACTTAGATAAAGCTACTGTTATAAATTCACCAGCTACTGTATAATTAACAATGGCTCAATGTCTTTGGATCTGTTTTGTCTCAACAGTAACGAAGTACTTCTTAAATCAGTTTAGAGAAAAAAATAGTATAGCGAAGTTTTACGTAAACTGATGTACTTTTACATAGTCACTAAGGTGATAAAATAACAAACAAAACACTGCTGTCGTCCCTCCCCATTTCGTTCAACGGTGACCCTCACGATCGGTGTTTACTACAAAACATGAATAATCTTAGTCACGTTCCGGGGCACAGCAGCAATAAATAACTGCATAAGAAACACAGGTTCTATAATAAAACTCAAACTGATTATGATAAATGTAATAATCAGGAGATCCCATGTTCTTTATCGTCTTTCCTTTCAAACTGTGATTCCCTAGGCATTTTTATAATGTAACAAGTTAGGCCTAATCTTCAAATTGAGGCAACAACAGCAGTAAACAATTAATCTGCGAAAATAAATTAATCATTTCAGGAAGTTGTAACAAGTTAGGCCTAATCTTCAAATTGAGGCAACAACAGCAGTAAACAATTAATCTGCGAAAAAATAAAAATCTATCATTTTTCAGGAAGTTGTTTACGTAGAGATAGGTAAATAATGAGTCTGCTTCAGTCGAGAAAGCTAAGAAGTTTGTAAAATATTGTATTCCATCGACAATAACGTCAAGGTTATTATATCTGAAAACATCGTTAATAGTAACGGTACTCAACTGAAGAAATAACACTTATTAATCTTTATAAGTAGAAACGTAAGAAAAGTATATTTAATTAACTTTACTGATGACCAGGTTGATTTTGAGTTTCGGTCTAACCACATACATTACTATGATTGGAAATTATTAGTATTATAAAATGACTGAGGTTTTTGGTGTTCTATTCTGTTCTTACAACAGAAGACGTGAACAATATTCCTGGTCCTGGACATTCTATGAAAACTGATGGATGTAGATATCAATCCCTTGGTGGTAAGTAAAAAACTTGAGAGATTAAAAATATATAAAACATTAGGTTTCCCTGAGGTTTATAAAAAGGGGTCAAAGATCAGATATATGGGCCCCTCTCTTTCATATTTTGTAGGTAACTATAGAGATCGGCTAGATGTCAGAGGACTGGAGAGTTTCAAATGTTACTCAATTTTTTAAAGAGGGTGACAAGAGTTACCTGGAAAATTATAGGCCAGTTAGTCTTAATTTTGTAGTGTAAAAAAATTATAAGGTCCGATGGAAAAAAGCTTTAAAAAATCGTTTAGTGATAAGTCGTATAAGTGAAAGCTAACATAAGTTCACAAAAAGAAAATCTTGCCTTACTAGTCTGTCTTATTTCTTTATGGATGTTCCTTGTTAACTGGTAAATGGAAATGTTTTATTTTTATAACAGGGTGATTGACTTATGAAACGTGCCCAGACGGGACAGCGATAAGTTTACGGACTTACAACCCTAAAATCAGGAGTTCGATTCTTCGTGGTGGGCACAGTAGATAGCCCAATGGGGGTTTGCTCCGAGAACAACCAAACAAAAAACCGATTTATGAAACGAGTTGTCGTCAGCAGTAGTAGAGGCAAATACTTTAGGGGTGCATAGAGAGGAATCATTGATTTGCTGACAGACAAAGGGTCGGCTTAAAATTTTCCAATGGCTTGTGTGTAAGGCTTGAGAAACCAAATGGTCCCTTTTTGTTATTTTAAAACTAAACTATTAATCTACAGTATCGTCTGGATAAAAATGATAATTGTATTGCGAAGTAAATAAAATAACCAATTACCTGAATGATTGATTTGTGTAAAATAAGCAAACAGGAGAGGATGTAGCCTAGTGGTTAGCGTATCAGGCTGCGTATCAAAAGGTTCGAGGCCCGAGACGTGATGCTACTGAACACCATGTGCGCTTTCAGCTTTGGACGTGTTATATATGTGATAGACGATCCCGTTATCCTTTTCCAAGGGGCTGTACAAAAACCATAGATATATTGGTTCCTATCGTATGGTCTGTAATTCAAATTAGAAAGTGTTATACCTGAAACGAATAAGATTTCTGACTTGGCCGTTTAGTGCAGGTTGAAAATTCGAATTCCATACAGAGTTTCAGAAACAGAAACAAACAGACCAGCAACGCTATAAGACAATATGTAAAGTACAACGCTGTTTAGTTCAGTAAAGCCCCTCGGTGGCTCAATTGTAAGTACGGTTATAATGCTAAGTATCGGGTTTCGATACCTGCTCTGCCGCAGACCACAGGTGGCCCATTGTGTAGCTTTATGCTTAACAAGAAACTAACAAAAAGTTCGTTAATCCAATTATTTATTATCTTTTAATCAGCGCGAGCTCTCTGTACTTGTACACAACCCTTGTTTAATTAGTTAAGTATAACTCCCAAAGATCAAACAATTGTTAATAATCTAATGCTAAACATTTTGAAAGTAGAAAAATAAGTTATGCTGTATTAAATAACTCTTATTATCTTTTGTCTAAACTAATTGTGGATATTGTAAGATAAGAAAGCATGATATAATGTGTTGATAATAACACATGAATCAGAAAACGACGTAATGTGTTGATAATAACACAAGAATCGGAATACGATGTAATGTGTTGATAATAACACATGAATCAGAAAACGACGTAATGTGTTGATAATAACACAAGAATCGGAATACGATGTAATGTGTTGATAATAACACGTGAATCAGAACATGATGTAATGTGTTGATAATAACACATGAACCAGAACATGATATAATGTGTTGATAATAACACATGAATCAGGACATGATGTAATGTGTTGATAATAACACATGAATCAGAACATGAAATAATGTGTTGATAATAACACATGAATCAGAAAACGACGTAATGTGTTGATAATAACACAAGAATCGGAACACGATGTAATTTGTTGATAATAACACATGAACCAGAACATTATATGATGTGTTGATAATAACACATAAGTCAGGATAAGGTGTTGCAGGCTACGGATTGAACATTTCATTGTTTTTTACCTAATAGTCGACTCAACAATGTGTACGTTAAGACGCTTCCAATTATTCCACTTTTATTGCCAGTCCAATTCTATCGATGTCATGGTTTCTTTACTAGATAAGAGACATAACTTCTCTAAAAACAAGCAAACTTCACTGACTAATCACTCACTAATGGCGGGGTTTTCTACAGAAAGCTTTGTTTTATTATCATTTACGAAGTAGCTCGTTAAATACAGGTTTATTACATTAGGCTATAAACTAAAAGTAAAATGAAATATACCGTCTACCATGCTAATTGTCTGTGAGATCACATAAGTTTATACATTACTTTTAGTTGTTTTATTTTAAAGATTACAAACATGATAAGTGTAGTGTGAAGTATTTTTTGAAGAAACAGCTAGAATTTTGTTTGTCTGGTTCATGACGACGATGTTCCTCAAAAAATGTAGTATTGATTCTGTTCATTTGTTTTGCCTTTGAACCAATTATCAGGTATTTAAAGTTAATTAAAAATAGAAATTTACTTCCTCTTAAAAATAATTTAAAAGTGACAGAACAAGCTACTGATAAATATGAAATTCTGATTATTAAATCGCTCTGAACAGTTATCCCTTAATAATTAAATCTTTCTCAACTTACCGCTAGATGTCATAGTTGCAGCGCGCCACGTTCAGTTTATCTAGTCCAACTCTATTGGCTGTTTCCCTGTGACGTTACATAAAAGTTCTTTACTTTCGCGTTTGAGCAAGTACTGAAAACAGACGTATATGTGAGGGTTAGTACGTTGGTCAACATGAACTCAACTAGTGGAATAGTGTGTTTTATTTTACTTTTCGTAAACATAGGTAAGTTCTGTATGGCATTTTTACTTGACTGAAAAGGTCAGCGAATTTTTATATATACCTCAAATGATATTTTTGTGAACGGGTTTGAGAGCCAGGACGTTACCAAACTTTAGCCTAATACCACCCTGTTTCGATATGTTATAACTTCTGTTTCTAAGTAATGGTGACTATTGCTGGCATCTTCCCGGAATTCCATCGCTAACTTCTACGTGTAATATAAGAATTTCTCGTGTCACAAGGAATTGTGCAGATAAAAATTGGAGGTCGATTTTTACATTCATATCAAATAAAAACTTGAATTTCAAGGCGTAATTTCAATGGAAATATTTATTTTTTGCTAAATAATCACAGGATTTTAAATTCAATATTTTTAGTCTGTGTAAATGTTAAACAACGGAAAAAACAAAATATTATTCTGTGTACTTGACTATTATTCACAATTGTTTTAAAAAGCTGAAACCCGTATAATAATTTAGGTTAAAAAGAAACATGGCCTGAAGGTAAGTTGAATTTGATATTGAAAATCAAAAAGCTTATGTCTAGTGAAAATAATAATCATTTATTCAGTTAAATTTACGGAATTAACATATGAATACGTCACCAAATACAGAAGCCTAAAAATCTGAACGTTGTAAGCTAGTATAAGAGGAAGAATCCTAGTCCTTCTGTTGAAACATATAATATTGGTAGTCGACATTTGAGACCTTGGACAAAGCATAAAATAATAAAATACAGCGAACCACAGTTGTTTGCGTGAGTGATCTTTGGCCACTGACCTTTGAATAGCCAACTGTAAATTGACTGAGAGTACGAATGATCAGTGGCAACCAACTTTTGTACAGTTAAAATATATGGTTTGAGGGCTAGTATACACTGTAGTGACAATTTGTAACAAATATTCGTACTGGATTAATTATCATAGTGAAGCCTTCGTCTGTTTGAAATATTTTTGTTCGTTTATTGTTAAGCGAAAAGTGTCACGATCCGCTCACTAATTGTGCTGTTCGCATCGCAGGGACCAAACCCAGAATTTAACATTATAAACCTTCAAGCTTACTGCTGAGCTTCTGTTTAAAAAGAAGCAGGGGTTTGTTTCGTGCAGCACTTTTTGGGCAACTCACATTTAAAGCCTAATGCCGTCTTCACTGTGTCAGCTGTTAGGATAATTTGTCTTGCAAAGTACTAAATTGCCCTAAGAATGAACTTAATGTTTACCACATTCTTTGCGTGTGAATGATTTTTGTAATGACGCCCAGGAAATGGTGCGATATGTTTTCAGTATTTTTATGCATGTGTATATATATGTATATATAGTTTATTTTTTAAAGCTTAGACAATTGTATATACGTACATATACACCTATGTGTATTAAGACAAGCAAGCTTGTACATTTAAAATTGTTATTGTAAATTAACATGTTTTGTATCCTGCTTGTGCTCTGACTGCTTTTAATCGTTTTGTGTCGAATATCATAGTCTGTTACGTATGGAAGTTATAATTACAGGTTTATGTTAACGTGTGGTGGTTATAATTACAGGTTTATGTTTAAGTATGGAGGTTATAATTACAGGGTTACGTTAACGTATGGAGGTTATAATTACAGGTTTATGTTTACCTATGAAGGTTATAATTACAGGTTTATGTTTACCTATGAATTTTGTAATTACAGGTTTCTGTTTACGTATGGTTCATACGTAAACAGAAACCCGTACTTATAACCTCCATACGTAAACAGAAACCCGTAATTATAACCACCATACGTAAAAAAAAACCTGTAATTATAACCACCATACATAAACAGAAACCTTTAATTATAATCGCCATACGTAAACAGAAACCCGTAATTATAACCACCATACGTTAATGTAACCCTGTAATTATGACCTGGTTATAATTACGGGTTTCTGTTTACGTATGAAGGTTATAATTACGGGTTTCTGTTTACGTATGAAGGTTAGAGTTATAGTTTTTTTTTATGTGAAGTTGAACATAACTTACGTGAAACGAAGCTGGATGATGCGGGAATTACAAACTGTCATTTCAAATACCACGGTGTAAAAATTATTGCATCAACACGATTAGAACCTCGTAGCTTCTTGAATAGATCATAAGAGCCAGTTATTCCTATTTCCTCCTACGCCTCAACTGGTGACGGGCACGTGTGCTTAGTTGCTGTGGCCTAGGGTAAGTCCAGAAATCGACACAGGCGAGTTATTTTTTATCAACATATTGCCGTGCCATATATTACGCATATGTCACCGTATAAAACACGATCTGCATGTTCTAGTAGAATTTTAGTCAGAAACTCACTGGTTCACAAAATCGTCTGCATCTTGTAATAGAATTGTATTCGAAAACTTGTCTATATCATACATCAACTTACCAACACTCTTACAGTGTAAAGTTTGTACTTGGTTTGTGCGTGAAATGTTCAGAATATTAAGAAAAGACAGGGAGCGTCCTCTCTCATTGTCATGGTGATCTTGCTTGTTAGTTTCGTACAAAATCTAAACATCTCGATTAGGGGAAACACCGTAAACGATTTAGGTCGTTTTATGTTAAAAGATACAGTTTTATGTCGGAACTGTTTTGTGTTAAAAGATACAGTTTTATGTCGGAACTGTTTTGTGTTAAAAGATACAGTTTTATGTCGGAACTGTTTTGTGTTAAAAGATACAGTTTTATGTCGGAACTGTTTTGTGTTAAAAGATACAGTTTTATGTCGGAACTGTTTTGTGTTAAAAGATACAGTTTTATGTCGGAACTGTTTTGT